TGTGTTTTATTTGATTAACGTACTTGTATCAAATGTTTATGCAAATATACTGTGACAATTTTTATCAGATATTCTGTGAATCTATCGTTTTTGTATCCGTTTATCGGTCCTGTGTATAAGCGACATTTGAATGTTTTCTGAATTCCAAACATCATTATCACCGTCTCCAATCTTCGTTATCGGCCAATCAAATTTGCTTATGTAAGCCACTAATCACTTGCAATTTGCCTCTTTTTTTTTTTTGATAATTTATTTTATAACTGTGCGTTACATTTATGTTTATTATCATCATTTTGTCACGTTCAATTTTGAATATTCTCAATGAATTGATGTACAATTAATGAAGTAAACGAATAAATTTTATCGAAATATTATACGCTTCGATTCATCTAATTAAATGGTTTTTTCACGTCTAGCCATCGTTTTATTCTTCAGAATGTTTTTTGCTTTCAACGATGTTCTCTTATAGTTAGCTTTTTTGCAGTAGAATGTCGACGAAATTTGAATTTCTCTATTTGAAGTGCTTATTAAATGAGAGAGGTGTTCGAAGGATTTTTGGAAAATTGATTAAATAATAGGCAAGAATTGTTCTGATGAGGGGAGGAAAACAGAGTTGTGCAATAGCGTGCTATCCACCAATTCGCTAGTTGTGGAATAGCTGTTGAGCTAGTTAGCGAATTAGCGGAATAGCATGTTACTGCGCATTACCCGTTGTGTCGTAACAAAACGTTGCCTCATTCGTGATTCTTTAAACTGCTCGTGGACTTGAAAGCAGTCATGTGAAGTGCTATTGTTACTGACAATGGTTTATCGAGCATAGTTGTAAGTCGTAAGTTCGGGGTCTTTCCGGCAGAAATGTGAACATTTAAGAAAAATCTCATTTTCATTGCTGACACAAAAAATGCACACTGCCCACTAGTAAGTTCAAGTAATGAATGGTAGTAAGAAAGGCGAGAATAACTGAAAAAAGGTTTATCACTAATTTTTAATCTTGCGAGGAAAAGAGAAGATTTAGCTCTCGAAAAGTGCCGGATTGAAGAGGTGGTGCATTGATTCCGTATCCGTTTAATCGCACCCCCTCCCCCCCGCTCCTCCTAGTATACAATTGAATCAGTTTTGGTGTTATATATTGAACAGAAGGCAAAGGTTTGGATTTGAATTCAGACTGAAGTTGTTTTCAGCCCGTTGAAGAGTATTAACACGGTTGGTTCAGCAATAAGCAGCTATCGAATGAATACGAGTGGTATGTATAGTGGTGGTGGTGGTGCGACTGGTGGCTCTGAGTTATTGCGACGTTTGAGTGCCATCAACGAAGTCGATCGACGGATTGCCGATCTGCTGAAACAAGCACAAACTTGTATCGCTGAACTGAGTAAAGAGAAACAGGTGAATTGCTCTTCTTATTTGCTCATTATTAGTCATATTTGTCATCAATACCTTCTTTATAAAATATTAGTCATATTTTATAAAGAAAGGTATTGATGACAATAAATCAAACGTATCAAAAACAATTCAGAACTCATTTTTTCATTGTTCAGATAAGCAAATCGCGGATGGAAGATGCTTCTTCGGAGTTCAAACGAACGTTGAATGCAATCGAAAGTGAGTTGAGTTCTCAGATGCAGTATCTGAGTCACGTTTGCGTCGGTACTCCACATCAGGGCTCAACATTCGCATCGCAGCAGAATATATTCCTCGCCGAACAAACGCTCGTCTCACTCAACAACCGTCTTGCTAAAATTCAGTCTGAACATATCCCTTCAACAAATGAAGACATCTCCATGCAGTGATCTCTTTTTTTGCGATTATTCATTCATTATTTTATTTGTTCATTTATATTATTGACATAATGTAATTATCTGTTATATCATTGTTATTATTCTTATTGTTATTGCTGTTATTTTTTTGATTGTTATCGTTAGTATGCGTTGGAATATCATTGTACGCTGATTCTTCAGTGTTGAGTGAATTCTTGATGAGAAGTTCGATGAAATTTTATAAAAGGCAGTCACTTTCATGAATTCACTCAACAGTTTTTTAGCTATCGTTCATTTAAATTCAAATTCGTTTGTGACTTTGAATTCCGAATGAAATGGCCCTAAAGTATGCAGTCATTTTCCCTATAGTTGTTTGCNTGAGGTTTCGTATATCGAATCCCGCAATTTCGTGTTATGAGTTGTTGATGGTTTATTGTTTGTGACTGAATAGGTGAGTTATTTGTGAACGTGCGTTGCAATGCGCATTTTGAATAACAATGGTAGAGTACACTAAAATGATAATAAAGATGGATAACTGACCAGAATGATGCGCAGAAAATACGGAATTTTTTTCATTTCACTTCAAATATCGTAATCCACAATAATTATAAGTCCACTTATATCTTATTTACTACTCTACTCATTCTTCTGTCCATGTCTTAATCAAAACAATATCATTTCTCAACCTTCCTCTTACCGTTACCCACCCAATTCGTTA